GTTCAGACTGCTCTGTTTTACACCTACGATGTTGCCGGCTCACGGGTAACTTGTTTAGATCTGGAGAGTTCTCAACCTCTCAAAGGAGTGGGTTCCATCCAAGCTCAACACGGGACCCCTGGTGTTGAGCTTGCTTTTTACTTTCACATTACCTCACTTTACAGCTGGCAGTAGTAGTAGTAGTCGTCGTCGTCGTCGTCGTCGTAGTCGTAGTAGTAGTAGTAGTAGTAGTCGTAGTAGTAGTAGTAGTAGTAGTGGTAGTAGGAGTAGGAGTAGGAGAGAGGAGGGGGTGAACGAAAGGTAGCAGGCAATCACAAGTACCCCTGGTAGAAGTCCATGACGGCGTGAACCGGCGCAGGGGGGATTTGATCCAGGGGGGGGGCCCCCCTCCCCCGACGAACAGAATCAACTCTTACAGGACCAAACTCAATGCACAATCCCAACTCCTGATTGTAATACATTTTTGCTAAAGCAAGGAGAACTCAGGTAGCTCAAGATACCTTTCGTGAGTAGTAGTAGTAGTAGTAGTAGTAGTCGTCGTAGTAGTCGTAGTAGTTGTAGTAGTAGTTGTTGTTGTTGTTGTTGTTGTAGGGATCGTTGCCAGACCCTAAGAAATTCTTACGTGATCGATTTGACGCTTTATTTCATCTGAATGTGTCCTGTCTTGAACAGGAATAGTAGAGAATCATTGAAGTAGGTGGTAGTGGTAGGGGTAGTGGTAGTGGTGGTGACAGTAGTGGTGGGGTACCCAGCTGACCTGCTAGTTGACCTGGTTGAGCCCAGTTGAACCCAGTGGACCCAGTTGACCCATAACAGCAGCAGCAGCAGCAGTAGTCGTAGTCGTCGTCGTAGTGGCGGTGGTGGTGGTGATAGTACTGGCGGTGGACCCAGTTGACCTGGTTGAACTCAGTTTACCCACTTGACCCCGTTGACCCAGTTGACCCAGTTGAACCAGTTTGAACCCAGTTGAACCCAGTAGTAGTGGTAGCTTGTCGGGGTCAACTGGGTCAACTGGGTCCGGAGATTTAGCGTGGCCCCCTATGCGGTCGCAATCCATATGGCATATGTTTCCTCATCTCTCCCCTTCGGTCAACGAAGCGTTCTCAACGGATTCAAAAGGTTAATCACCTAGTTATGGTGTCGGAACGCCGGCAAGAGTATCAACTGCCAAAGAATTTGGATCGAAATCAAATTGATCCAACAAAAGGATTGGAGGACTTTTCTGGATGTCTGTCAAAGTTGTCATCCCCATCGGATGGCCGTGGAAGCAGCTCGGTGCACCTTGAGGGTCTTTGATTCAAGGTCTTCAATGTCTCCTGGCAGCAGTGCAGTGACACCCAGAGGTATCAACCGCGTCAGTTTACACTGTTCTCAATGAGCCCCAAATGTTCTGGGGGGACAAGGAGAAGAAGACTAGGTTATTTAGTAGGTTAGTTAGTTAGTCAATGTTAGTTACATAGTTTGGCTCAGCCACACTCCATTGATCAAACAAATCCAGTCTTTGGAGCTGCAAGATCCCTCTGGTTCCCCGACCCACCTTCGGTTCTTGTTGGTTGTATCGAGACACTCTGTCATGAGCAGGCAGCAGCTGAAGACAACCGGTGTCTTCACAAACGCATCCCGACCGAAACAAAAAGCTGGGCACCTCAGCTAGAGAGGATTCCATGAACAGTGTACTTGGCCAGGCGGTTGCAAGAATTCAAATCAGTCGTCCAAAGACCCCCACACAATTCCCACAAGTTGAGCCTCATTGGCCACTATGCCACGCCTCTGACTATATTATACTATATGATGATCTGTGCCAGGGTCCTCCAGTGAGCAATCCATCGGGAAAACTGAGGAAACCAAGGGCTTCTGTATGGACAAGTCCCTCCAAAAAAACAGACCGGTCTCCGAACTGGCGCCCCTTGCCCCAGCGCCTCACTCCCATAGCGACGCCTCAATCACTCAGCTGCACGGGTCATGTGTCTACACTCGGGGGAATGACATGCTGTATTTCATCCGCAGAGTCTCCAAGAAATGGCTCGCACCCTTTGAGCACCCCAATGTAGTTTGAGTGACAAGCAACTGCCTCGATCAAGCTTCTTTCGATCGAGATCTCTTTGTGACAGAGTCGTACAATCCAGAAAAATGCATCCTAAACCACTGGCATACAGTTCCATCACTCACAGCCCTGACCAACTGAGCATGGTTCAAACATTCCACCAACCTTGCTCAGTCTGATAGTCACCAATTTTGCACGGTCCTTCTGGAATCACTCGGAACTTTAAAATCTAGTAAGAGTAACATGCCTGACACCAACCATTTAAAGACAAACGATGTGTAACAAAGAAAAGCACACGCTCCTGTAGCGACTCCCCTGAAATCCACGCCAGAGGATTGGGTCACTGGGTCCTCGCGCGAACTATTGAGGCCAGGCGATCGTCCTGTCAGCGCTGTCGATGCACAAGAGGAAACTTCTCAGAAAATCCCAAGCAATATACCCGATGGGCTCCTGCTCCCTATTCTGCTACAGCAGATTTATATACATGCATGGTGGACGTTTTTGAACACGGGGGTTCGCTACAAATGGAGTCGTACCCACGTGGCATCAAGCCCGAGGGACTTAAGGTCTTCTGGGCGACCAATGCTTGAGGCGCAAACACCTGACTCACTCAAGTTGAACACGCACCATTTTGACCGAAGATTTCGTTGGATTCAACAACCTTACCGGTAGTTCTCCCAAGACATCTGGCATCCAATTGCCACACCCTCAAGGCCTTGCTGGGATGAGGCGCTGCGTTCTCCCGTCCACCTGTCGAACAGGATTTTGTGGAATGACACTGCTTTGGATTGATTTCATCAATAAGCTTTTCATCTGTATACATATTATTTGGCTTAAGAGCCAAACATAACTGAATAGTGAGTCAAAGGACTTCTTTTGGCAGGAGCAAATCACTCCGAATGGATCATTTTCCGCCCTGTTTCGACTCCCTGCGGCGCATCGTTCGTTCACTCGTTCTAGGTCTCCACACGTCGGCGCAGCAGACTCCTGCCTGCGGTTTGGAGACGAGAGGGACAGCTCTGGGCGGCCAATGCTGGTTCTATAATTCCCTACCTTTGAGGCTCAACGCCCTTTTCAAGCACCTTCGGCAGCTCTTGGAGTGTGAATCCAAGACCCTGCATCACTGTCTTGACCGAAGGCTGACACGTTGGACATGTCCACCTTGAGAGGTACACGTTGAGACCAACGTCTGATTGCATCCAGCCGCTTGATGTGACTCACGTTGAAAACCGGAGAAGCTCGAGGTTTTCCTCGCAAAGCCAAAGGCTAAGGATCACTTCGATGAAAGGCATCTGTGACAATGGACAAGCTGGTAAGACGCTGCTGATAGACAGTCTTGAAGGAGATTTGGATGCCGTGCATCCACACCTGTCCGCTTTCTGAAGATTGGCTGAGCTGCGCGATTCTCTCAGGTCGTGCGGCAACATCTGGATCTGTGGATTGCCTGCAAAGTTTGAGCCATCTGAGACCAAAGTTAGTTCACTACCAGAAGTGCAACACAATGCAGGTGTATCGCTACCTGCCTGCCATTGAATCACTACCTCACTACCTGCCTGGCAAGCACCATAAGCGAGAAGTAGAGGAAACAATGGCAGGGTGATGGCCATCAAATGTGGTAGCCAGCGTGCTTGCTCCTCAGGGAGGAGTAGCTGATGTTGCCTGGGCACATGGTTGAATATTGGCCCAAGAAAAGCTCAAATTGCGACAACAAGTTTACATATTCCGCCTGGATCACTATGTGCCTTTCCTAGAAATGTGCGGCCAAATCGAAACAATTCATCTCTTCCACGTGGTTCCTTCAGCAAACCTTCCGGAAACACCAAAACACCAACGGCTGATACGGCCCTTTCCATGCATTCCATGTAGGTATTCATCTCCCCACAAAAGCCAACACGTGAGCGTGTTCAGTCGCAACGATCAATGCAAAAGGGTCGTCGGAAAAAGACTGCGTACGAAACTACAATCCAATAAACATGTCTGCCGCCCACCAAGACACAGCAAGATAGCGAGCCAGAAGGGCCTAGAAAGATCAGTCGCTATGTGGGGTTCCCAAGCATTCTTGGTAAGGCCAAAGTAGCGGGACATCAAATCAAACCACCTGATTTTGATTGGTCAAGACATAAACCAGTTACCATCCCGTCTAGTACAGCACGGTGCAAATTACAAAGGCAAAGTGTTGCATTCATTCAAAGTTGTTTCCATTGCCACTCAAAATTACATTTGATAGGGTGTCTGTCCGATGTCCCATGTCACCAAAAACTCAGAGAGGGGCCAATTTCTCTGCAACCCCAAGGCTGTCCACGGATTCATTTCTAAATCCTAACATTTGCGTACATACATACATACATACATACATACCTACCTACCTACCTACCTACGTACGTACATACATACATACACACATACATACATACACACACACATACATACATACATACATGACATTACATTACATTATATTACATTAAAATACATTACATTACATTACATTACATCATACATCATACAAACATACAAACATACATACATACATATATACATACATACATACATACATACATACACACATACATACATACTCACACACATACATACATACATCCACCCATCACATCACATCACATCACATCACATCACATCACATCACATCACA